TTCAAGTTCATCGCGCCACGTTTTATTGCTATCATTTTCAACAATTGTAAGAAGACCTTTTAAAGTCCTCATTACCCTTTCAACCTGCCCATTTGCCCTACTCGACCCTGTGGCAATAAAATGTAACTCAATATGGTGTTCAGCACAGAAAGCCTTAAATTCAGCACTACTATAGCAACGTCCCTGATCAGCAATAATCCTTTTAGGTGCCCCGAATAAGTACACTGCTTTCTTCAAAGCTTTAATTGCGCTTGATGCATCTACAGAAACAGCATGGTCCAACAGAACGTACTTACTGAAAGCATCAATAATTACAGAGCAATATTCTTTTTGGTCACTCTTACCACTTAACTTGCCTGAAAAATCTATGTGTACTGTATGCCACGGTAGAGGAGTTTTAGGAATGGCATGAAGCTGTATCGGGCTGGGTCCTGAAGGCCCTTTAGATGCTTTGCACACAATACACGAATCGACAAATTGTCGAACCCGTTTAGCCATTTCAGGAAACCAAAACTTTTCATACAGTTTGTCTAGGGTCTTTTCGGAGCCAAGATGCTGAATTTCTGTATGAATTTGATTTATTAGGGTCCATATCAAGGAGCGAGGTACTATTGGTAGCCACGAACTAACCTTATTACGCTCTACTTTCCTATACAGGATGCCCTCTCGAACATCGTATGTGTGCGCGATAGATTCAGGAATTTCCCTATTGTTGTGTTTTGTAATTAAATCCTGTATTTCATTATCACGCTTCTGTTCAACCGCAAGCCAACTCTGCTGAAGCTCAACAAAGTGTACCATTTTAGAACTCATGAAAGAATCGCTCGTACTGGAAGTACTAGGTAAAGGAGGGTTCGCAACATGATTTCGGGAAAGGAAATCTGCATGCTCCATATGTCGACCTGCTCGATACTCGATATCGAAGTCATAGGCTTGAAGGAAAGCCCACCACCTATGAACTCTGGGCGTCAAATCGGTCTTTGACTTCGAAGCTTTTAAGGAGCTGCAGTCAGTGAATACGACAAAATGACGACCGAATAGATAATGGCGAAAATTTTCGACTGCCCTTACGACTGCAAGGGTTTCGAGCTCGTACGAATGGTAGCGAGACTCTGCATCAGTCGTACGTCGACTAAAATATGCCACTACGTGGGGAAGAGATTGTTTTCTTTGGATTAGAATGGCACCGTAGCCCTCAGAGCTCGCGTCTGTGTGTAGTTCCACAGGAAGATTGGGGTCAAATATTGTTAGGACCGGTTCCGATGTCAGTACGTCAATAATCTTTTTACGAATTTCTTCGTGCTTGTCCGACCATTTAATAGGGCCTTTCAATTTCGTTAAAGGGTATATTGGACCTAAAAGGTTTGAAAAGTTATGGATAAACTTCCTAAAATAGGAGGCCAGACCTACAAACTGGCGGACCTGCATTGCAGTCCTAGGTGGAGGAGCATCAACTAAAGCCTGAATTTTTCGTTGATTAGGTCTTACTTCACCAGCCTTAATAAGGTAACCCAGGTAGTTAACCTCACGCTTCATAAAACTACATTTCGCAAGATTAAAGGAAAACCCTGCACCTGATAAAGCCTTTAAAACTACATCAAGGCGCCCTAGACCTTCATCGACGGAAGATGAATAGCAAAGGACGTCATCCATATAAGCAAGCGGTTTTTCATCAAGATCTTTAAGTGCTTTGTTTATGCATCTTTGGTAGATCGATGGCGCGTTGCGTAATCCGAAGGGCATAGAGAGGTATTCGTATTGCCCCTCCGGTGTTACGAACGCTGTCTTACTTATAGAGTTAGGGTGGATAGGTATCTGGTGGAAACCCGATGCCATATCTAAACAAGAAAAGTAGTGGGCCCCAGTTAAATTATCAATTTGCTCATCAATACGTGGCAAGGGAAAGTGTTCCGGTTGAGTATTAGCATTAAGCTCGCGGTAGTCAATGCATAGCCTATATGTGTCATCTTTCTTTTTCACGAGCAAAATCGGGCTTGCAAACGGAGATGAGCTTTCACGGATAACACCGGCATCTAACAGCTCTTGAATTTTCTCCCTAACTATTTGCTTCTCGCTAGGTGACAATCTATACGGCGATCTATGGACGACGCGTTTGGGATCTATCAAATTTATTTCTAGCTCACCCGTAGTGACACGCTTAGTAGGAGTGCCCACAATAAAATGTTCGGAATACTTATTAAGAATTTGAAGTAGATCTGTCTTATCTTTTCCCGTCAGATCCGTATCTATCTGTGAAATGTCAAAGCAACCCGTATTTTCACACACTTTAACTACTTCTCTATTAGAAATTATAGTCAAGGTATCGTTGTCTATGCATACATGAACCCCCTGATCAAATATATCCCTACCAATTATAATGGGTTCGGTCAAGCAATCGTCGGGCACTATGTGGAAAATCAGATTTAAATTGAGATCTAACACTTTGACTGCGCTGAGAATTTGCGAGGTGCAAAGCAATTCTTTTTTACCAATGCCGGTAAGATTCACGAAACAATTCTTTAAGGTACCGGCTAGTTTTGGAACCATACTATATTTTACTAACGAGCAAGATGATCCGCTATCAAATAAAAATGGAACAATCTCACCAGTTGATGTCTCCAAGCTGCCTCTGGATGCCTTGTGACCGCAAGTATTAACTTCTTTGACTGCTGCCTCAACATTTTTATCTGGACATCTGTTTGAAGTGTGTCCGACTTTCTTGCACGTATAACAGGTAACGGCTGCAGCTGGTCTCTTTTCCGAAGTACGCGTAGATTCCGACGTTTCTGATCGCGAATTCCTAAAATTATCTTGTCGCATCCTACATTCTATTTGCTTGTGTCCCGTCTTGCCGCACCAATGACATCTTCCAGTAAATTTCGTGTCGTCGTGGCGGGCTCGCTTTACTTCCGAGTCATATCCTTCACCAGCCTCCGATCTTCTTTTTAGCGACACTCCACGGAGTACTCGAAATAATTGCGGTCTATCTTTGATGACATTTGCATTGAGCTCTCGTCGTATAAAATTATCTTTTTGACAGAGAACAGAAATAACAAAACCAACGATGACTTCTTCAGAAAGATTAGTATTAGGTATACGTTCTATGAAATCCCACAGACGAGCAGCTGCGTCACATGCAGTTTATTTCACGCCAATTTGGAACCGTAATACATCGTCGAAATAGTCCTGCAAAAGTTTGGGCTTGCAGAACTTGGCCATAAGAGTCTCTTTTACATGATGCCATGTTATTTGGTCCAATTTTAATTTAGTTAGACAATTTGCAGCTCGACCTTTCAATGCTTTTGTAAGAGCCATCAATAGCTCGACGCCATCCAGTTTCTTACTTGAGACAATAATGTCCGTCACCCGACACCAGCCTTCAATATCGGCGTCTGCATCGTCTGGATCGAATTGAATTAACTGAGCAATCTGTGGTGTACTCACTATAGCTGCTGGCGGCTGTGGCGTCGCTAGAAGTCGGGTAAGCAATGACTCCATGTTATTCAAAAGACTCAATTGAGGTGTGCTGCTGCTTCTGGGATTTGCTCCATTCGTTTCGGATGGTTCCCCATCGGATCCCACTTCTGATAAAGGCGTTTCATAAACAACGCCATTGTTAGGATCCTTAGTCGATTCTTCCATTACGTAGGCGCGGGAATTTTAAAGTAAAATTCAGAATTATACGTGTAATTTATAATATTGAAGCAATCTAATAATTTTAATATGATCACAATCAATTAAAGATTGAAATCTAATACGATTCAAATAGATTTAAATTTAGGACGTTAACGATCCGTTTGAGTGACGTGTGTTCACCCTCTTGTCACGACCAATGTGTCGGTCAAGATGGCGACCACGTTCCTCCAACGTTCCGTAAGAGCGGGGTTGCTACACTCTCGTCCATAAATTACAATAAACTGTCAAAGAGTTTCATTCATCTTCTTCTCAATCTTCAATCGATTATATGACGCGACCTGCTTGCGCCGTCATATATCTCTAGTTCAAATGTGTATAATGAATGACAGCATTGTTACCTCATCATGAAGCCGCTGATGTTCTTTTGTTTGTTTTTATATGTCGTATGTGGTTGATGTTATAGGGAAATAACATAACAAACTCAGTGGTTAGGGACAACATTGGTTGAAGTTATTGTTTTTATAGTTTTCTAAAGTAGGTAGGTAGGTACTTAGGTAGCTGTCTTTTCGTACTTCTACAGAGATTTTCCCTACGTTTTTTGAAATTCTACTATTAAAATTCTGCCCGTCCGTTTAACTGTTTATCTCTCGGTAATCAGGTTGTCACATGAACAGGTTTACCTAAACAGTTGAGATTTTGACAAAATTAAAATACCTATGTTTTATTTTTATGTGTGTAATTTTTCACTATTTGAAACAAAAAACTTTTATTTTATAGTCATATTAAACACTAGAGAATAAATTAAGTATTAGGTTAGTATTTAACTACAAAATATTTTAGTATTAAACAATAAACGTAATTTTAATAAGGAACCTCTTGGCTTGCTTCCGATTAAAATTTTTGCACTAATTTGGTTCTTTTTTTCTTTATACCTTCCCCTTTTCACATAATCACAACAAAAATAAGCTGTTAAATCTTCGATGACCAATATCTATACTCATAATTTACGTAGCTTAATTTTTCGCGCCCTAAAACCATTTATTCCTATTTTTAAGTAAAAATCATTCAGGCCGTTTTCGAATATCGAAAAAGTCGAGAAATCTAGGCACCATGTAGATTGGATCACAGTCGTGATTTGTGTTTAATGCAGAATGATCAATTAGTTTTTCTATTTAGACGTGTTTTTCTATTTATTCATGAGTCATTCATATGAACGTAAGAATTATAATGTTGATTGTAATATTTACCGAATAATCCCGTGCAAACATAATATACGAGTACCTTACGCTAGCTAACGACATCTGTACGTGCAATATCTAATTATGATTGTGAAATAATAATGATCGGTCTCTTGTCCCGCGCAGGATGCTGCAAAAGTTGTCGTTCGGTAGTTGGCGGGTCGTCGGCGCGGCGTGCAGTCTACCGAAAACCAGCGCCACCATCAGAACGTTATCGGCAACCATGGAGAAAGGATCCAACTTCTTTTTTAGACAGGTATTTATAAATAATAATTAATTTTCTTATCATATTAAAATTAAATAAATTTATAAGAGTTTCATATACTTAATTGAAATTGATTTTATTTTTTTGCACTTAAGTCCTTATATCTTTTTATTACTTTATATTTACTTTTGTTAAAACAATATGCTGTAGTTACATTGTGTTATGACGAACAACAGTGAAATAGCATAGTCATGGTCCAATTATTAGTATAATTTGTGTTTCTTGTGAAACTTTAAAGACATGTCTTATGTCTGTTCCAATGTAACTTACTTATAACATCAAACCATTCGCTTATTTGAATGGTGTTAGTTACATTTATTCCCCATAAATTTTATTTAATTTGACCATGAATCGCTAAATCATGGTCATTTTTGAGATAGTATGTAGGTACTTAAATTTGTTTGAAGAAACTGGTTATCTCAATAATAAATCTTTACCTTCTTTACCTTCCTACAAGATATAATTAATAACTTCATATATACTAATTAATAAATTCATATAAATTCCTATGTCTACATAATTATTATTACTATTATCTGTGGATCTAGACTGAGGACTCTAGTAACCCTCAAATCCCTTACAACCCGATTTTTATCTCTATTAGTTACTGTTGTCCTGGTGGTCCACAGCCGGCGTCGACTGCTTACCATCAGGTCGTCCGTCTACTTGATTGTAAACTACACACAAAATACTTCTGGCTACGTTTTCCTAAAGGACGACAGTGGATTCGTTTATAATACGAGTATTATGCTCAGAATCCGTTTATAATATTATGGTCAGAAAAATCTACAGTTACATTAAACTCTACTTCCAGTTGGTACAGACCTAACTATATAATAACATGTGATTCTTATTTCGTTTAATATTATGGTTAACACACTTTCCATAATATACACATACGAAGGATTATTTGATATGCCATATTCTTATTTGTAAACACAAGCTCCTTACAGCCGCCTACCCCTGTTATAAATTACTAGCTACTCTCGCGCGGTTTCACCCGCTGCTCGGGTTCTTTTAAGCGTAGCGTGATATTTTTTAGCCTATAGCACTCAGAAACATTGTAGCTATCTATCAGTGAATTTTGGCAATTCGACCAGCGGTTCCAAAGATGGTAATCTTTGGAACCGCTGGTCGACATACAAACTTAAAAATGTTACCTCTTTATAATATTAGTAATTATAGATTATTATTTGTCACTCTAGATTCTTCTCTCTATTCTCTATTATTCTATCTCAGCGCCAAGTTTTATCTAAATCCATTCAGTAATTTTTACGTAAAAGGATATAACACCCAATCATTGGTACTTTGACTCACGCTTGGTATATTGATAAAAAGCAGCCTATGTATGTGTCAGTCCAGGGTATCTATGTACAATGTACATACCCAATTATAACCAAATTAGTCCAGCCGTTCTTGCGTGAAAGCACAACAAACGTATTTACATACATTATCACAAGTTTTCACATTTATAATATTAGTATGATAGAAGAAAACAGAAATTAGGATAATTATCTTTTCATATAAGTAAAAGTATCAACTGGTCTCGATTTACAGATTCATACCCAGGTTCCTATTGAGGAAATGTTCAAACGTTATTAAAAACTGTTTACACACGTTTTTTATGGTGATTAATACCATTTTTATGATGTGAGTTTTATATTCGCAGTAGTTATATGTATTCAGATTATTTCAACTACAACTTCAATTTTGCAGTTATTAAGTAACTATATTTTATGTTAGTTTGCACAAATAGGACCTTGTAGAGATCACTTACAAGACCCCTGTAGAGTACTTAATATAAATACTCATGATTATCACCTCCTTTATTAGTTTATAGTTATCGAAAAGTATACAGATGGAAATGGCATTGTTCTCTCGATAGTATCTTTTATCCATTGTTTGATCCAAGTACCTACATATAATATATCGTGGCCTCGGCCTAGAGCAGGAGAAGGAACGGGGGGTTTAGTCAGTAAGAGTCTGACATTCCCTCTCGCCTCACCCTGGGCGAGGGAAGTTATTTGACGATTTTTTCCTAACGAAAAAGTTACCTTATAATAACGATAACATAGACAACCTCATTCTTCAGCTTCTTTTATTTTTTTAACGTTGGTACTTTGTAACATTTAGATAAAAAACTCATTCAAGTGTGAAATTTTATAGTCGTTTATACTTACTATTAAGGCGGGAAAGTGCAGATTCGATTGTTTAATTAATATTTGTTTTTTCATGCGTTTAGGCACTAAAACTGACAATATACATATGTTTCATTTGATGAAAAACAAACTTTAATTCCAGGAGATAGGATTAAATAATTACTCGTTTAAGAACAGACAGGCCCCGATTTGGAGTAGGAAGAAAAACGAGGTAGTTTTTAGTTAGTAAGAATCTGTTAATCTCGCCCAGGGCGAGAAAGGACACATGATATTTTTTCCGTCAAAAAATAACACTGGGTACTAGTTTTTTGGACTAGTATAAAAATATATAAATCGTTTAGGTTAGATTGTACCCAGAAAAAACACCTACAAAAGAAATTCTTTAAACAAATGAATATTTTCTTATGAACACATGTTAGGTACGTTATAAAAATATAGAAAAATCTGTCACTTTTTTTACATGCAATATCTTAAGAAATCGTACCTACACATTCTAAGCTGTGCCTTATTGTGCATTAAACTGAAAATGGAGCTGTAGTACTTGGGGATAAGGGTCATGTTACCTTGTCATGTTACCTAATTGCTGTTGAATACTATTGCGAGATTGATGACATAGATGTAATTAATCGCACGATGGTTTCGTTGTGTAATTCTAATTAAGTTAACATGGCCATTGAAGTTAATGCTTCATTTGCTTTAGAAAACATAGGAGTTATGGTAGTGTTAAATGGAAAATGTAAAATGATCATTCTGTATAGCATGTGATTAGTTTAAAGCTAGCATTGTCATCATCATCTCGTCAGCCGCTACAAGATGTAGAGCGCGGAACTCTGCTTATCCCTTTAGGGGGTAAAAGGCCCGTGCGCTCATGTCTTAGCTTCTGCCAGCAACTTTAACCGAGTTATCCGCATGAAAAGTAACAAACTTATATGTTATTCCAAACTTAATCTGTCTCTGTGCTAATTTTCATCAGAATCCTTTCAGTGGTTTTTGCGTTTAAGTGTAACAAACACCCTGTCTTGCAAACTTTCGCGTTTTTAATATTATGAGGGTATTATGTATAGATAAGTAATAAGCTTTAGGCATAAGGGCAACCTATTTCCAGTGACATTATATCACATCATCAGCCTTTCAGTGGCCACTGCTGAACAAGTCCTCTTGTCACACGGAGAACCTATTAATCACCACATTCGCTCAAGGCGGATTGAGGATTTTAAACTTGTAACGTAATTTGTCGTATGTCAGTGGTGCCTAAATAATCGAAGAAAGTACATATAACTTCGCACCTTTTTCTATCTTATGAATGACTATCTTATTTCTAGTAATGAGTGCAAAAGATTAGAAAATTTATAATATTGATAATTCATTGAATAACTTCCTTGGGAAATATATTATGATGTCATCCTGTTAGGTATTTTCTTATCTGACTAAGCTACGGCCTTAGAAATTGCACCCCGCCCTATATTTTTATTATAACATAGTTTGCTTTAGGTATATTATGTATCTTATCAAATATATCGATATTATATTTAATACTTGCACAGATACTGACTACGTTGTCATGGTTATTTTTGTTAGATAAAGAGCTATCATATCAACATTAGCGGCACAATGATTATTATATCATGTATAAAGAATAACATTATTCTTGTATTAAGTTTTGATATTTATTTATTTTAATGGGGGTAGTCATTAGATGACTTCTTCCTGGGTGAGAGAGTGTCAGGCTCTGACTAAAACCACTCCGTCCCTTCTCTTGCTTCAGGCTAAGCCGCAACTTATTACTGGCTGTCCAGTCATGATAACTACTTAGGCAAAATGCAACAAAATATGGTTTCAATTTACTTAAGTAATATCTATGTATAACTAGCTCTTCCCGTGGCGTCGCTCCAGTCATTTGACTTCCTACCCTACTCTACCTACCCTACTCTACCTGCCCTACTCTACCTACCGTACTCTACCAACCCCACTCTATCTAGCCTACTCTTCTTACCCTACTCTGCTTCCCTACTCTACCTACCCTACTCTGCTTCCCTACTCTACCTACCCTACTCTACTTACCCTACTCTACCTACCGTACTCTTCCTACCCTACTCTACCTACCGTACTCTACCTACCGTACTCTTCCTACCCTACTCTACCTACCGTACTCTACCTACCCTACTCTGCCTACCCTACTCTACCTACCCTACTCTACCTACCCTACTCTACCTACCCTACTCTACCTACCCTACTCTACCTACCCTACTCTACCTACCCTACTCTACCTACCCTACTCTACCTACCCTACTCTACCTACCCTACTCTACCTACCCTACTCTACCTACCCTACTCTACCTACCCTACTCTACCTACCCTACTCTACCTACCGTACTCTACCTACCCCACTCTATCTAGCCTACTCTTCCTACCCTACTCTGCTTCCCTACTCTACCTACCCTACTCTGCTTCCCTACTCTACCTACCCTACTCTACTTACCCTACTCTACCTACCGTACTCTTCCAACCCTACTCTATCTACCGTACTCTACCTACCGTACTCTTCCTACCCTACTCTACCTACCGTACTCTACCTAGCCTATCCTACTCTGCCTTCCCTACTCTACCTACTCTTCTCTACCTACCCTCTTATACTTCAGCACAAATGAGGTGGCTAGACCGGAGTCGGCCTAATACCATGGCATCACATAAAACTAGCGTGAGACAACGCTCCTACTCCTTTCATCTCTGAAATTCTGTAAATCCTCGAGGTTTCTGGTGTCAATGAGCGCCAATTGCTTACCATCAGGCGATACGTTTGCTCGTCTGACCATAAGTGCCACCGTACAAAGATTTAGACAGTAATGTACATACAAACTTTTTGTTGTAAAGTAGCAAAAGTATTTATGTAACGTATATAAGCTAAATAAAAAAAATACCTCTATATAAATATATATAGACTATACCTCTTACAATTTTCATAATACAAATGCCTTTTTTTTTAATTCGAGTTCGACACTACGAACTGTTATACTCCTTACGATTATTCTTAATACAAATACCTTTATTTTTTAAATTCCAGTTGTTCGACACAGTGAGCAGTACGTACACGTACTTGCTGGGCGATGCCAAGACAGGAGACGCTGTGCTCATCGACCCTGTCCTGGAACACGCGGAGAGAGATGCTGCTCTTATCAAGGAACTGGGCTTCAAGCTGGTTTATGCATGTCAGTACATTTTCCCTTATCATTAGTCTGTTTTCTTCTACGAATTACATCACATCATCAACCTATTAGTGTCCACTGCTGAGCCTTGCCAAAGGCCTTACCTCACACAGAAAAGGTTTGATAATAATGAAATTTAAGTTGTCAGTGTTGTGTAGCCAGTAGCATGACTAAGCTAAACTAGGACGTATTTCATCATCTGTGCATCATTATTAATCTTTTTAAGAAAATATTGCTTAACGCAAACAAAGTTTTTTCTTTTCCTTTTTATTCAAGATTTTCAGTTTAAAAAATCTACAGTAGAGTTGGTGAACTGTGTTATTTATGTAAGTAAGTATTTGTATAACCCTAACACCTAGTAGCAGTACACTGCTGACATACAGTGAAGGACATAATCGTGAGGAAACCTGGACTTATAATTTCTAATTATAAGTTTACAATCGCCAATCCGCCTTGAGCAAACGTGGTGATTGATGCTCAAACTTTCTTTGTGTTGCTCAGCAGTGGGCACTCATAGGCTGATGATGATGATGATGATGATAGCCCTACACTTAGTTCTTCTCGTCTTTTGCGGGTGCGCTTACTAATATAGCAAGAAGTTCACCAATGACACCCATACCCAAAAAGTTGAGTTGCGCTCAAAAGTTGAGTAGCCAAATATCTATCAATTAACCATATCATCACCAGCCCGTTTCTGTCCACTGTTATAATAACTTAAGCCTTGTCCTCTTGCCACGGCACACCCGCGTCTACGGTCGGCGAGCAAAGGTAGCTCGCCGCCTGACCAGCACTAGAACTGAGTGTGCGACGCGTATCGTTTAACCAATAGACCACAATAACCACAATATGGGGCCCAACGTGGCCAATGCTTAACTGGGGTCGCGGGTCAAGCGCAATAAGGTACCGTGGCCTCGGCTTCGACCTGCTCCACGGTACTAGATACTAGGCTTCACACTAGATGGAAAGGGGGGTTTTAGTCGCTGAGAGTCTGACACTCCCTCTCGCCATTATCTGGGTCAGAGATCTGAAAGAAGTCATTTGATGATTTTACAAAAAAGCCTTTAACCTCTTCGCATCCTAATAATAATTATTTTAATTTCCAGTGAACACCCACATGCACGCAGACCATATCACTGGTACGGGCAAACTGAAGTCAATATTGCCTGACACTAAGAGCGTCATTGGCAAGGCATCAGGCGCTGCAGCTGATATCCACCTAGTGGACGGTGATGTGGTCACCTTCGGAGACTATAAGTTGTTGGCTACAGCCACCCCAGGGCATACCAATGGATGCTTGACTTACATCTGCCATGAAAAGGTTGGTTTTTTAAATTTTTGATTGGCATGTCTGTCGGTAGATTTGTTCTTGTTAAGGCTTCTATCGAAATCTTATTTTACATTTGACTAAAATGTTTAGTTTAAAGTGAGCAGGCATAAATATTCGTCGTAGCAGTAACAATAGAGGTTCTTAATTTGAAGTTGTTTAAAAAAAACTCGTTTCTCCAATCTAGAATTTTCTCTTGTGTCATCACACCCAGACCCGGAACAACAATTTGTGGATCACACAAAGAGTTGTCGCAGTTGCCCAGACACCGTATCAACCGTCCAGTCTTTAGTTAAACCACTGAGAGCTGAGCGTTAAGATTTTACGTACCAGATTTTACTATCTCTTATCGCTTGGTGATTGCAGAAGCATTGCATTTCATATTCTTAATTCTCGATTTCAGGGCATGGCGTTCACAGGGGACACCCTTCTTATCAGAGGCTGTGGTAGGACGGACTTCCAGGAAGGTTCAGCTCAAACTCTGTACCATTCGGTACACAACCGCATCTTCACGCTACCCGACCACTACCTTCTTTACCCAGCTCACGACTACAGAGGACAAACTGCCACCACAGTGTGGGAAGAGAAGAAATACAACCCGAGGCTGACGAAACCATTAAAGGAGTTCATTCATATCATGGATAACTTGAACTTACCTTACCCGAAAATGATTGGTGAGTTATTTTTACTGTTACACTACACTATATTATTGATGCTGTTTCTTACAGCTTTTAATTCATACTGGCGCCGCCCCCTGTGTGTACGGAAGTTCATTTTCAATGTTTTCGTTGTTATGTTAGCGGTACGCTACAGCATCTTTTTTTAGTAACTGAAATAAATAATGTTCGTAAAGCGACTAAGAATTAGGACACATCAATTTTGAATTGTTACAAGCTGCCCATGCCTGGCGCTGTTGTCAGCCATTCGTTTAAAAAAAGGCTAATTATACATATATAATGGAAGAGGTAGCTATTCTTCATCTAAATTTTCTAAAGACTGCGGATTTGTGGAAAATTGGTCAAGGCGTTGTTAAGCTCTTTACCTACACATTTTCATATTCATTTAATATATACATAGATAGTATATATTATTAAAGAAGTAAGGCTATAGTATGAGATTATAGGACAAGCTAAGGTCTTGAAATAATCGTGCAATAATGACTAGTGAAGATTTATAGTAGGTTTCCGAAAGGCCGATCAATGTTAAAATCAATTTAATCTCTTGTCAAGTCATCTGATTGGTTGACTGAATGATCAACAACCAATCAGATGACTTGACAAGAGATTTAACAGAAGATTAGTTAATTTTAGCGTTGACAAGCCTTTCAGAAACCGGGTGTTATTCTTTTTTGTCACTGTTTCTGCTCGTAATAGTCACGTCACGATTTTTTTAACCTACCTCATATTAAAAAAATCACCTTACGTAGTCAAAATTACAAGTCATGCATTAGTCATGTTATTTATAAAGCCTCGTTCGTCGGTGTTGGATGAATGTACTGAATGTGCGTTAAAACTTAGTTTTTTCTTGCTTTTTGTTCGTTTGAGAACTAAAAGTTTTATATCACTGTTATGAAATATTTGAACATTTTAAACTGAGAACATTTTTTATGATATAAGTCACTAAACGAGCAGACGAATTACCTGATGGTAAGCAATCGCCGCCGCCCATGGCTGTTAGGGATATATGTATAAGGATTTAGGAGTTTAGGATGCGTTTGTAAAAAAGGATTGGACCTCCAGTATCTTTGTAAATTCAAGCGTTGTTTCAAAACGTTTGTTTTTCTGATATCAGTCCAGTCAAGCCAGCTAATTTATTTCGAAGCATGCATCTCCTATATTTGAAATACATTAAAAAAAAACTTTGCTCCACACTAGGATTTTCTCATGTGTGGGTGCGTTTACAATTTGTGGATCACACAAAGTGTTTGTTGTTCCGTGTGGGAATCGAACCGGCGACAAGTCGCAAGGCAGCCAGTCGCCCCGCGCCAACCGTGCAGTCATAATCTCACATTCAGATTTTACGGCTTATCTTTTCCTAAGAAATATTTTTTTTTGAGGGGAGAATATTATCAAATGGCTTTCTCGCCCAGGGTGAGGCGAGATTAAGTGTCAGACTCTTACTGACTAAAAATCCACCTCATTCCAACATATAACACAACATAACCCCATATATATTAAAACTGATAATATATTTACTGCATAAATAAATAACACCAATATGAACGTTTTTTGCAAACAGAAAATAACATTGAACTGCTAACAAGAGTGTTTCATAGAAGTCCTAAAGAAATTTTATAATACAATTGACTAAATAACGACCTTATTTGTTTCAGACAAAGCCGTTCCCGCCAACAGAGTATGTGGAATTCATTACTAAGACCATGTAAACTATTTAGAAAAATACTAATTACATTTTTGTACTAACATCTAATGTAGATAGCTAGTGAAGTGATATTCGATGAAATTCCTAAAAATTATATTCTAAATTATATAGATGCGTACCTACTATAATTAATTTATACGAAGCTATTATAGGTATCAGACTTAAACAAACATTAAAAAATAAATGTTCTACGATTATAAATATGTCGTGTAAAAAACATACAAAACTTATACAATTATTTATTTGATAACTATAAAAGAATTAATATTTGCTCACTACTTATTTGTGTCAAAGCAAGACTACTTAACTATGTATGTATATATAACTATTTCATTTCTGCACTTTTTACCTCAAACCTACTTCTACTTTACGCACAAAGGCTGTATAATGTTTTTAAGCTGACCAATATGTCAATACAAGCCAATTGAATGTTATGTAAATATAATACCAATTTTGGCTTTCATGTCAGAAAAGTCTTAATTTGGTGATTACAACCAATATTGTGATATGACGTTCTAAAGTACTTTTAACTTCACAACGGCTTTTCCTGTATCGTAGGTGCGTTTCCGAACATAAGTTTACATACACGTCTCACCTAGACTCGGTACAACAATTTTGCGGATTATACAAAGCATTTTTCCGTATTAAAATCAACTGAAAGCCACTGCGCCAACCGTGCAGTCAATTGTGTAACGTATAAAAAACAAATATCATGATTAATAATATAAAAAAATTATTTTCTATTATTGAAAGTTAAATTTTGTAATAATAAATAAGTAGTGATACTTTTAAATAGAATACAAAATTCGGTTGCCTAAGAATTAAAGCAATACCAATGACATACATTTTACTTAACGTTTGAGCATAAATTATTGGTAGCAGTTGCTTTGTTTTTGTAATTACAAAACCTCTGACAATATAACATCAAAGTAAAGGCAAAGTTTGTAAAGAGTTTTTCTATAGACTTTCCTTTTTTAGGCTTTTAACTATAACAAGCTTTCTTTTTATGAATTTAGTAGATTTAGATGCGGTATGTGATATATGTGCTATGACACAAATATTACCAGCGTATAAGTACCCACTGCTGAGCAAACGCTTCTTCTCACACAGAGATTGCTTGAGCATTAATCACCACTTTTACGGTCTGTCAATGTTGTCTCGACAATCTGAAAAATAACATATACATTATGACTTTTTCCGAGTGAATTGGTCACATTGGTGTTTTCCCATCAGGTTTTGAAAGTGCTTCCTCTTGTATGAGAAGCTGGCACCTCAGCCTTTGGGTCACCACGACCTTTGTAGTCTGTGATAACCTTTTGTTTTTAATATTTAAAAAAATGTTTCAGAGTTTAGTGTCATTTTTATGTAATGAAAAGAAGTATTTACTTTGCTTTTTGAGATTTTAATAGATAATAGATAATATCAGAATATAAGACCCATAATGTAGATAAATGAAATGTATATTTTGAGAACATTATTTTTCTATGGCCAGTTAGATTGTACCTATAATAAAACTATAAAAAATGTTAATTGGTAAATATTTATTTATCATTGTTTAAGGAAAAATGTTTTTATCTGTTATTTTTTGTGAATAAATACATTTTGTTGATTAACAAACTTGTTTTGTTTTTTATATTACTTATCTACACTCTTAAGAGTTTTTTTATGATCTTATATATGCTTCCTTACTTCAATTCATCACAGTATTTGGCGTTGTTCAGCCCAAGCAGGGCACACCGCCATCCTGCACGTGGGACCGTGTCCTTCGAGTGGTTCTCAGAGTGACAACCCCCGGAAGCTCCCAAACCATGAACCTGAAACAGATATTTCCTGAAACACACATCCAGTAAGCACCTGCGTCAGGTGGAACCATCTACATCATTATTTCTTTAAAAGGAGATTTATTGTAGTGATAGCAGCCATTCCAATCATCATCTGCTTACCTTAACTATCTCGATCGATCTTGATTTAATCAACGAGAAAAAGAAGAAAATAAAACAAGATTTACTCTTAATGGTCTTAGATTGATGCAGCTATCAAGAACATGGTCAAAACATGTGTACCTACACTCCTACAGTTAATTTACCTTAGTTTGCTAACATTTTATTAGCAGCAAGAGTCCCCCTAAGTGTTTGCCCTGCACCCCAAGCTCCCAACTATAGGGGTCTGGCCCTGACATTAACCAAATGCCGCGGAAACAGGGGACGCAATTAATGGCTTTTTTGATATATCGGAAGTGCCCTTGTGACTCGAACTATAGGTAATACAAGATATGGAATATTGTCGTTATGCGGTTTCTTTTGGATATGTGAGTAAATACCAATAGTATTAAGGGTTGTAGATGTAGATAATGGAAGATAAAAAGTATTATCCTAACATTTGAACACCAAGTAATCTGATTGGTTGACTGAATTATCAACAACCAATCAGATGACTTAACAAGAGATTTAACAGGAGATTAGTCAATTTTAGCGTTGACAAGCCTTTCAGAAACCGGGTGTATGTCTTTTAATTAGGTACCTACATAATAGGTATGTGTTCTTTTTCGGGGATTTAATAATCCCCGAAAATGAACTTATGAGCTTATGTTTAACCTGTGTTTTTTTTTGAAAAAAATTAAGGTTTATATGTACGCAAATGCAATAACTGTAACATAATGACTGAGATTACTATCACCCGGTTTCCGAAAGGCCGATCAATGTTAAAATCAATTTAATCTCTTGTCAAGTCATCTGATTGGTTGACTGAATTATCAACAACCAATCAGATGACTTGACATGAGATTTAACAGGAGATTAGTTAATTTTAGAGTTGACAAGCCTTTCAGAAACTGGGTTTTAATCTCAGAAACAATCCGTTATTTATTTCAAAATTTAATTAGTTTACTAGGGAGTGGAGGAGATGTTGATACATTAAGTCTTTTACATTTGAACACCATAGTTTTGGGGACGAGGGGCAAGTATGATATATGGTTTTATACCGTGATTGTGATACCTCGACCGGCCACGATTAGTCACGGAAGGGGAGTGAACTGCTAGTTCTAACACTAACGTGTCATGACAGACCAGAATGCACTGGTTTTATGAATTTGACACGACACGACACGACAAACAAGGCTTTTCTTCGCAATGGTTTTTTTGTGAGAAGAAAATCATCAAATGACTTCTCTAGCCCAGGGTGAGGCGAGAGGTAGTGTCAGACTCTTACTGACTAAACCCCCATTTCCTTCTCCTGATCTAGGCCGAGGCCGCGATACACGAATACCACGCTTGCCCAGTAACCCCGGGTGAACATCGGCCCTGTTGTGCCTTGTGAGTGGTGGTCTATTGGCTCTTTGAGCCTCTTTGTACTTGGAGTATGTTTCTAACCATCATAAATATATAACACTGATTTGCTTCTGTCCCCTCTCTTGGGCGTCACAACACGCCACGACACGTAAGCATATTTCCACCCTGAGTCAGTTCGGGTGTTAGGGTGAATGTTGCCAATTAAATGAGGGTTTAATTTAAAAAATATTACAAATATAGTGACCTTTTGTTTTTTGTCTGGACAGCGACTTTTGAATGCCCAACCAACCGAAAATGATTAAACAATTTACAACGAGGTGGGCCTTAAGATTTGTTGCTGCATATTAAAAAAAATAAGTATAAGGTAATATTTGGTACATTTTTATAGCGTATCGCGTTCTCCGTTCATATTATGCACACGAGCCCCGACACTTACTAATTAGAAACGTTTCATTAAAGCGCCAACTGAGATTTCACGTATGTACCTACATATTCACTAGTGAACTAGGTACTGATCGGAATACCAAATTAGGTAACAGAGCAATTTAACTTATCATATAAGAAGTTTGTGTAATTAGTGGGTATTATTAAAGTTAACTAACTAAATCGAAAATTAAAATTGCTAATAGCCATGACTATGTACCTAGGTACCTATTAATTTTTGAGTTCAGGTCACCACAACGCTTATCGACTTAGCTATCAGTTAAGCATAGTTAGGTAGTAGGTAGATACCCACCTACATGCGTTACGTCAAATCTATAACGAGAATAAACGTGAAATATATTATTTTAGTTTTTTAAATTAAGTTTACAAATTGTTTATTGTGAATTTCACACACAAACTGTCAGGGAAATTTTATAGTTTGCCTCATTTATACTAGATGGCGTCACGCGTTTACAGTGGGTCCTTACAAAACCGATGAAGTTGACAAATTATGACGTCACCTTACAGATATGACGTAATATAAAGTTGGAAAACTGTAATTCACCTAAATCTTTCCCGTCTCTCGAGGCCGATTTGGCGCCTCTTCAAGAATAGCAGGAAGACTGAGATCTGAAGTTACTATGCTCCAATTCGTCCCAATTTGTTAGTTCGATAGTACAAGTTCTAGAAAACTTACCCTGACTCATTGGCACGTATGAATATTTTAATGTTTCAGTCATGCGAATAGTTTGACGTCACTACGTCAGCAAACTATTGATTACCTCGAAGTTTTCCTAGGCAAGACCTAAGTAAACGTCTTACAAGCTAAGCGGGTGGATAATATATTAAGTGACTCGGACGCCATTATTAATCACTGGACCGTCTCGGGAAGGAGCTTGGTAAAATAAAGCAACAGCTTGCGTCGTTAGAGACGGCTTTAAGCTTCGGACTCACTAACTGAGCTCATTACTGTGCAGGATAGCCGTACATGGCCGCTGGATAGCCGATAGCCCCTTATAGGATAAAGAATGGTTATGGGGATCAGGAAGGCGCTTCGATGAAATTTAGTATGATTTATACCGATTTGATTTATATAACTACTCAACAAAATAGCATTCCTGAAAGATCATTAGTGGGATTGAAGCAATCAGGAAAAATTATTCGGTAAAATTTTCGGATACTTGCGTTGGGAATTATTTTTATATTTTATTATCTTCTGTTTAATTTTCGATATCACAAGTTTTCTGACTGCGTGAATGTCATAGATACCTACAGCAAATGTTATCGATCATATTTTCCGAGGTTCTTAATATCATTAGGAGTACCTGAACACGTAACAAAAACAATGACATGAACATAGGTACATCCTCATTTGAAAGTCCATCTGCTAGT